AACAGTAAATATATTTGGTATTCATATTACAAAGGTTTCAATTCATAAATATACTTTATAAATTTAGAAGTTAGGGAGTAGAAGTCACGTGTCGTGTTGTCTCAATAGCTCAACAATGACGTGACGTCACAAATTTGGAAAACAGCGATGCTGCAATGCGGAAAAGGCAAAGCGATGAAATTTAAACCTTTTTACGGTATATTTTTTTCTGCTGAACGTTGTTTGCAAATAAGGGGTATGCTTAGTATCGGTGACAAATTCATTTTCGTCAAATTAGCTCAGGGAAAAAATTGATATTTTAGAAATGGTAGCCAGTCCAAATGCATTTTTGTTGTTGTTTAGCATATTCTTGTAGTTGGAAACCCTCTGGATTTTCAAATTAGGCAAAATATCTATCCCCTAACTAGAAGGCAAATAGAAACATATATGTGTACACTGTATATCTGTGCCCCTATATATAGGTCTGTAACTGCTGTATCATCCCTCCTGTTCTTTTGCCTTTGTATTGACGCAAATGCCAGATCATTTGAGTCATTGCCGCCACCTTTACTATTTCTATGCTTCTATATCTACAACGACACCTAGTGAGCAACAGTGACACTATATTCCTATTGGTGAACTTGACTACACTTAGCTCTTATATTAATTTCACCATATGAAAAAACATCCCCACACAATGTGACATCACAATAATTTCTCACCTCACACTTGCATTATGATATCACATCTTATATTCAATATAAGGGTTATCAGAGAAGTCAAATAGTATTTGTTCAATGATCAGGCTATTTTATTAATTCTTTATTTATTTCTGATCATGACTGTTTTCTGATTATCTCCCCTCACATTTGCAAGCAACTATGAGTTAATTAAAGCAGTGATTTTGAGCGTAAAACAAACAGAGGTAATCACTTTTCTAGAACAATTCTTATAAGGCTTAAAAACATCAAAGCATCTACACTAAATTAATGTGTATGCTTAAGACGATAAAACATTTTCTGACAGTGGCAAATATGATATATTACAAATAACTGCATGATACAAAAACAAAACTTGGACATGTAGTAGTTTGAATATGAACAATTACCACACATATAAAATATAGTTTAAAATAGTCTTTGATCATTGTTTGTAAAATATGTACAAGCAATATTTTTACAAAAATATTGTGTGCAAAAATATGCAATTATCTCTTTACAAAACGTTAATCTACATTGGTAAAAATGATATACCAATGAGACTTTGTAGTTGACTAAATCTGAAGGAAGGTGGTTTATCAATAACGCTTCAAAGTGTTGTATTTTAAACGTTTGTTTTGTAGCAATTGGCAGGCGTGCTGAGGGGGAGCCTCACAGCAATATTAGACTTACAGCCATGGTGATCCTCGAGGAAGTCATGACACTTAATAATTAAGCAGACATAGTCACCACATAGAGTTGTTACCGATATGTAAATATGTCCATACTAGGACAGTACCTAAGGACTGTGAGTCAGGGAATCAATATCACAAACCTATAGGAAGACAAGTCTCTGGAGCATTATTGATAAACCACTTTGCCGCTATATATTCGCTGTATTTTTGCTATCACCCTGGAAACCATTTGGTATCTATACCAGATGTCAGTGTTACACTTATTTTCACACTTGATCTACATATGTACGTCTGCGCTGGCTTGTCTGATAAAGATTAACTGGAATAAAACATACAAAATTAATATTCCATAAGTATATTGTACAAATACAATTTATGTGTATCGCTGTGTGTTAGCTTTGTAAGCTGGTCAATACACAACCGCACATGTAACAGTTAAACCTAGAACACAGTTCTTACATCAATAACAATAACAATCCTACAAGCATTAATATTAAAAATGGAACAGTTTGAAATATAGTCTTTGTTCATATTGTATTTTAAAATTTCTGTTTGCATTCTAAGTATGTTGGCTGACAGTAGATTTTACTAGAGTTAACCATTCAAATGAGAACAATTTTATGCCTTACATCAATAAAATTCTTACTTATTCTCATCCTTATAAGTTGTGATAAAATACAGGTCACTACATTAAATCACTCATATTTTCTAATATCAATAGCTTGTATTAATACAGCCGCAGCAGTCAATAACAAATTTGAATATGTCACAAAAATCTATTTTGACACAATTAAAGCCTTCATATATTACTGTTTAAAAGTTTGCTAGTTCTAATCCTTGTGATTTTGTGGTATAAAGCTTGTAAGCTTGATTCTTTATCACTCTGCAACATGTTAACGTGAAATAGGACTGAACGGTATCAAATCAATAATATCTGTGGCTTTTACCAATATCACCAAAATATATAATCAAAGAAATAAAGCACTTTACAGGAACTGGGTTCAGATTGTCCTCATCCTTTAAAGGTATTTCTGAAAGTAATTAACTCAATTTTAACACTAAAATTTTATATTTTTGTAAAACCTTTTGTAAGCCGTGCTATCTGACTAGAATAATATATCACCACAACTAATTGTAACATATACCAGATATTGCTGTCGGGGATACCCTGACTCCCAGTACACAGTAACACGCCCTGTAAACTTATAACCATGGTTAACAGTCAGGCATTGCTGAGTAAACCCTAACACTGGTACAGTACCAGATATTGCTGTCGGGGATACCCTGACTTCTAGTACACAGTAACACGCCCTGTAACTTATAACCATGGTTAACAGTCAGGCATTGCTGAGTAAACCTTAACACTGGTACAGTACCAGATATTGCTGTCCGGGATACCCTGACTCTTAGTACACAGTAACACCTAACACTGGTACAGTACCAGATATTGCTGTCGGGGATACCCTGACTCTTAGTACACAGTAACACCTAACACTGGTACAGTACCAGATATTGCTGTCGGGGATACCCTGACTCTTAGTACACAGTAAGTACACAGTAACACTCCCTGTAACTTAAAACCATGGTTAACAGTCAGGCATTGATGAGTAAACCCTAACACTGGTACAGTACCAGATGATATTGCTGTTGGGGATACCCTGACTCCTAGTACACAGTAACACGCCCTGTAACTTATAACCATGATTAACAGTCAGGCATTGCTGAGTAAACCCTAACACTGGTACAGTACCAGATATTGCTGTTGGGGATACCCCGACTCCTAGTACACAGTAACACCCCCTGTAACTTATAACCATGGTTAACAGTCAGGCATTGATGAGTAAACCCTAACACTGGTACAGTACCAGATATTGCTGTCGGGGATACCCCGACTCCTAGGCTACATTCGCGTATCCGGTTGAAAGGTTTGAACTGGTTCAACCTGTAAAGAAAACGACAGGTACAGATTTGGACCGAGGCTGACCTCAGAAAAAATTTGGTACGTGTATAGATTGAGGGGTCCAGATGTACCTGACCAAAACTAAAATGCTGACTATTGCCAATTTGCGTTATTTCTCTCTTAAACAATGTCAAGTCACAAGTAATTTCTGCGCCACACGTACCGTTTCAACCGGGATACGCGAATGTAGCCCTAGTACACAGTAACACCCCCTGTAACTTATAACCATGGTTAACAGTCAGGCATTACTGAGTAAACCCTAACACTGGTACCTACAATTTAATCTAACAACAAAGAAGTTGATATTCACAAGTACATCAAGTAAAATAGCACATTTTCTTACCTACCTACACATTACATACACGTTGCCCTCAATACATGTTGCCATAGACAATAGCTTGGACTTCAGGTTCAACAAAACATCTTTTACTCTCAACCCAAGTCAATAACTGTTTAATGTCACAAACATATTTGTGTATATACTCAGGGACGTATATATACTGTCCCTGATATACTAAGTCTGGTAGTGATAACACACCTTCTGATAGAGGGGTGTGAGTTATATCGTCTATAATTCTATATAGGTCGTATACCCTACTTCTGGTGACAACTCTGGTAGTGATAACGGACCTCTTAGATCTGACACTGCAGTGTGAGTTAATGTCTACAATTAACTACAGGTTGTAAACACTGGTTCTCCGGTCATTTCTGGAATGCATTATGTGGAAAAGCACTTATCATATAAAAATACATCTTTGGGAAAATAAAGAAAAACAACTTTTAAAGTCTTTGAAATTTCAATGAAAATTATGCTGAAAATTGTCATGTGGGTATTTCATTCATAATATGTAAAAAGACATTTATATTGATAAGTTTGGGAGAATTCCTCTCAAGTTAATATCTTAGAAAACAGAGAAAACAGATAACAAACACAAGCACCATTTATATGAAACAGGCACAAGCAAGTTGATGTCTTAAAATGTTCTAAACTATACTCATATGTAATAAAGATATGTCACCACATATATTTTTGGCAGATACTGATGTCTTTGGGTAATATGACGCCTGTAGCTAACTCTTTGCCATTCATTTTCTAATGAGTGTATCGTGGATGGCTGAACCTTTTACTTGGTGTATCTGTTATCCCAGATAAACTATAGCATGTGTATAACATGATGAGCATATATGTTCTTAAATGGGCATTGAGTAAATATTTAAAGACATTATTCAAGTTATGAGTTAAATAATAAACTTGAATGAGTTTCCCTACATGCCAATCATTCAATATTGAACAATCTATATAATCACAGTTATTATATCATTATGCAAGTATTTATAAATTATAATCCAATATATACAAAAATATTGCCAAAAATACACATCACAACTGTAACAATTTGCTCACAAGAAACTATCTCACTGTCTGATAACACGAGCGGTCAAGTTCTCCAAAATACCCAATAGGCTGGCCATTGAGTGTAAAAGAAACTTGACCATAAAAATGTTTTTTGGTTTGGACTTTTCTTGCTAGTGTTAGCAAGGAATGTTGTTTAACTTTGTATATTTGATAAAAACACTTCAGGAATGGTTGAACTAGTGTGGAATAAGTAAGAGCATGTACTGGTAATATCTTTAAGAAAACATTCAGTATTTTTGTTCTCTTTTAAATTTTTTGCCATAACTTAACTTTTACAATTTTGATAATCTTGGTAATGGTAAGACTATAACATTGGTTTTGTAAGTAGATATTAAACAAAACAGAAGCATAAACACTGCAGGTGAATGGCTGAGTAAGTAAATAGTATTGGTAAATTACCACTATACATAGAGACACAGTCTGTACAAAGGTGTGTGTTTTGTGGCTAACACAAGGCTGATAAGGCTGACAGTATATAGGCTGGGTCATCATCTCTATTGTCATACAGCAGGAATAAAGTGGTGAGTGTGGTCTACAGAAAAACGTGGCCATCAAATAGCTGGGTGGTCTATGTATAAGTATGTTACCTATATAAGAAGGATGTGACTGAACTATATTTGAGGATGTGGCCTACATACTAGGATGTGACCTATATTTGAAAATGTTACCTACATTATAGGATGTGACCTATATTTGAAAATGTTACCTACATTATACGATGTGACCTATATTTGTGGTTGTGGCCTACATACTAGGATATGACCTATATTTGAGGATGCGACCTACATTATAGGATGTGACCTATGTATGTTGATGTGGCCTACATACTGGGATATGACCTATATTTGAAGATGTTACCTACATATTTGGACAGGACCTGAACAATAGGATGTGGCCTACATATTGGGATGTGACCTATATTTGAAGATGTTACTTATATATTTGGACATGACCTACATAATAGGATTGGGCCTACATACAGGGATGTGACCTATATATGAGCATGTGACCTACATACAAGGGCATGATCTATATAAAAAGGGCACAGTATATTACAAGCACACATGAAAACATAAAGTTCAAAAACATTGCGCAACATTCACTTCACTACATATATATAGGGAAGGCAGAGCTACACATGTATATATTTTGGCATTTAAAATGAATTTTTCACAACAACTTGAGTCTGTGTTATAAATGATCACTTGGCTTAGGAACACCTATCATATTGCACATGTGTTTTTATCACCTCCTACACCTGTTCAAGGTCAAGCACACCAAGTCCAACTTCCAGGGAAAACGCAAACAATGAGGTTTGACAAAAAAAACCTCGTTTTTCTTTCTGCTCCTCACGTTTCATCACTGAAGGCTACGTTCATCTATTCACTGAACAGAACACAAAGAACAGACACTTGTCCTCCATTGAGAATGACAATTCTGTGACGACAGTTTTTTATCCTGCTGAATGTCATTTCAAGGTCAAAGTCGACAGCACCACTGGGTTGGGATTCCTCTCTTGTAGCCTCATACAGAATAATTCTGAAATGGGTAAACAAATAACATCAACATCAGCCTCACGACCCTGGGTAATATACCAACAATAAAGTTACTCATGTTGAATAGTGTTATTATTTATAACATTAAGGTTAAATGCTACTTTACTGGTGCTGTTCTATTAATCACCCTTATAGAACAGGTCAATGCTTACAAACCAATGTCGTCCATGATTGGTATTTGTATGACGTAGTTAACACCTGGTACACACAAGTATGTGCACTGGTAACGTTTGGGCAATTCAGAGTGGTTAGATGAAGTTGTGTTAATGTAACAAGAACTGTTATCAGGAGGCTAACTAATATTCCAACATTATTGCTGGTGTGAGCGATACTCGTAGTGTTTTAGCTTATATCATACTTTGTTGTAAGGAGTATACTAGTTTTCAACGAAGGCAAATCAAATACACTGTATGATGCTGACTAAATGCTGTAGGTTTACCTCATACAGGGAGACGGTATACATACCTAATGCTGTAGGTTTACCACACAAAGGGATACTGTATACATACTTAATGCTGCAAGTTCACTACACAAAAGAGACAGTATACATACCTAATTCTGTAGGTTTACCACACAAAGGGAGACAGTATACATAGTTAATGCTGTAGGTTTACCACACAAAGGGAGACGGTATACATACTTAATGCTGTAGGTTTACCACACAAAGGGAGACAGTATACATACTTAATGCTGTAGGTTTACCACACAAAGGGAGACGGTATACAAACCTAATGCTGTAGGTTTACCACCCAAAGGGAGACGGTATACATCTGCATACTTAATGCTGTAGGTGTATGAATTACCACCCGAAGGGAGATGGTATACATAACTTAGTGCTGCAAGTTTACCACACAAAGGGAGACGGTATACATAACTTAGTGCTGCAAGTTTACCACACAAATGGAAACGGTATACAGACTTAATGCTGTAGGTTTACCACACAAATGGAGACAGTATACATACTTAATGATATAGTTTACCACACAAAGGAAGACAGCTACTGAATGCTGTAAGTTTACCACACAATGGGAGCCGGTATACATACCATTGGCTTAACAGCCAACTGTTGATGTAATCTCATGTTGTCAGGGGTCCAGGATTCTGTAAGTAGGAGAACCATTTTACTTTTCATTTTTAATGACGTACATGTGGATAAGCCTTTCTAATTTCCACCTTTATCATTTGTTTCGTGGTTCCTTGTTTCACATTCCTAGATTTTTTTTTAATGATGTAAACTAATTATTTGAGACAATCTCCGATGTGAGATAATCTTCAATGTGAGATCAAACTTTTACAGTATAATAGCATATGTAATTTTTTAATCAATGCTAGCTATACAATCTATCCAAACAAGAAACTAAACAAAACAATAAACTAAGTAAGTGGCCAAAGTAGGGAATCTCTCTGGAACTGTTGGAATAAACAAAACCCAGGTACAATGTATTGAAAAAGATTAGTCAAGATTTGTAGGAAAAAATCTAAAAACATATTTTTGGCTTTAATACCCCAGGTATTTTAAAAGTGGTCCAAAAGTGATCTGGACATTACCTGTGCCTTGACCATAGCAGCAGCCCATTCTAGCTGGTCACTCTCAGACCCAAAACTCAGTGTGTGGCCAAAGTTGGGCATCTCCTTAGAACTGTAGAAAATGACAAGAAAAAAGGCATTGAAAAAGATTAGTCAAGATTTGTATAAACATTTGTAGATAATAATTATACATGTCTTTAATTTTCCACAGTGATCCAAAGTACAGAGATTTTGATATATATATTACACAACAGTAGTTTCTAACTGACACCAGCTTAACACTATACAGAGACAAATGGCAGAAAGATAGGTTTATGAAATTTACTACACATTATGGAGGAGAAAATATACTAAACTTGGGGGAAGGACACAAGTGTAGAATATAGACTTACCCCACTTTGTCTCCTTTCTTCATGAAGGTTAAAGGAAACCTGCAAATAAGGTAAAACAAAATGATGTATAGCTGTACCATACAGCAGACAGGAAGTGGTGTTACCAGGTTAATAGCATGTTCAAGTCTGTGCTTGAAACTCCCCAGAAAAAAAATCAAATATCTTTACATTTTGTTTTCTGTTTGTTACCAAATCCTCTCTTAGCCTTCTGATAATAAAGTTTCCTTCTAATTCCGATTAATTTGTAGCAATCCATCTAATTCTTTATAGTAAAAAGGACAAAGATAAATTAAGGGTCATTATTCTGTTAATGTCAACAGAGCAACACTCATCATACATTCATGAAACCATTTATGTGATGGAAGATATGTGTCTAAATTTTAGTGCTGAGTACTTTAGGATGAGCATTATTGGCTAAAAAGTGTCAACAGACCCAAGATGACCAATCCCCCCACTCCATTCCCCCACTGGAACCCCACTCCCTTCCCCTACTCCCTTCCCCCACTGGAACCCCACTCCATTCCCCCACTGGAAACTCTGTTGCACCACTTGATATATATCAAAAACCACTTGTGACAAAGACTTACTTGGCTGCCTTGCGTTCTGTATCAGCACCGATATAGATGCTTAAATCTTCTACATTCCAAGAATTCACAGGCTTTTGACTTATCTGAAATTGTTTGAAAGAAAAATGAATATTGTATACCGGGAAATTTTTACCGCAGTTTAACGTTCGTATTTTTCACCTTCTGCAATGAGGGCAAATTTAGCATAACAGCAAATATTAGAATGCAACATAAAACAAGAGGCCCAAGGGCCTTAGCGGTCACCTGAGTTATATCATAGGTACTGGTAGCTTTATTTTATTGTTTAGATGTGATGTGGAAATCAGCATGTAAACTAAGTGAAATACAATACTTGTCATGTCATCAATGGATAAAAATTTGAAAATATTGGTAAATGTTCCCTTTGGGGCCCCGCCCTAGCCCCTGGGGATGGGGCAGGAATCC